GTGGATTTATTTCTGGGCTCTCTATGCTGTTCCATTGATCTATGTACCTGCTTTTATGACAGTGCCATACTGGGGGGATTTTTAGTGTTAGTTTCAGGTATACAGCAAATTGACTTAGTTATACATATACATATACTCATTCTTTTTCAGATTGTTTTCCCATATAGGTTATCACAGAATATTGAGTTGAATTCCCTGTGCTATACAGTAGGTCCTTGTTGATTACCTATTTTATATATAGTAGTGTGTGTATGTTAATCTCAAACTCCTAATTTATCCCTCCCACATTTCCCCTTTGGTAACCATAAGTTTGTTTTCTATGTCTGTGCGTCTGTTTCTATTTTGTAAATAAGTTCATTTGTATCATCTTTTTAGATTCCACATACAAGTGATATCATATGATATTTGTCTTTCTCTGTCTGACTTGTTTCACTTAGTACGATAATCTCTAGGTCCATCCATGTTGCTGCAAATGGCATTATTTCATTCTTTATTATGGCTGAATAATATTCCATTGTATACATGTACCACATCTTCTTTATTCATCTGTCAATAGACATTTAGGTTGCTTCCATGTCTCAGCTATTATAAATAGTGCTGCAATGAACATTGGGGTGCATGTACCTTTCTGAATTATGGTTTTGTCCAGATATATGCCCAGGACTGGGATTGCTGGATCACATGGTAGCTCTGTTTTTAGTTTTTTAAGGAACCTCTATACTGTTCTCCATAGTGCCTGTACCAATTTACATTCCCACCAACAGTGTAGGAGGGTTCCTTTTTCTCCACAATAATGCCATACTGTTTTGATTACTCTAGCTTTGTAATACAGTTTGAAATCAGGGAGCATGGTGCCTCCAGCTTTGTTCTTATTTTTCAAGATTGCTTTGGCTCTTTAGGGTTTTTTGGGTGTATGTGTGGTTTCATACACATTTTAAAATTGTTTGTTCTATTTCTGTGAAAAAATGTCATTGGAATTTTGATAGGGTTTGCAATGAATTTGTAGATTGATTTGGTAGTATGGACGTTTTAACGATATTAATTCTTCTTTTCTTGACTAATTGCTTTGACTTGGAGTCCCAATACTATGTCCAATAAAAGTGGTGAGAGTGGGCATCCTTGTCTTGCTCCTGATCTCAGAGGAAAAGCTTTCAGCTTTTCACTGTTGAGTATGATGTCAGCATTGTGCTTGTCATGTATGGCCTGTATTATGTTCAGGTACATTTCCTCTACACTTACTTTGTTGAGAGTGTTTATCATAAATCGATGTTGAATGTTGTCAAATGCTTTTTCTGCATCTGTTGAGATGATCATACGATTTTTATTCATTTGCTGATGTGGCGTATAATGGTTGACTGATTAACAGATGAGGAATCATTCTTGCATTCCTGGAATAAATCCTGCTTGATCATGATTTATGATCCTTTTTTACATAGTGTTGAATTTGGCGTACTGATATTTGAGGATTTTTGCATCTATGTTTTATCAGGAACATTGGCTGGTACTTTTCTTGTGGCGTCCTTGTCTGGTTTGGGTGTTAGAATGCTGGCTTCATAAGATGAGTTTGGAGGTGTTCTCTCCTTTTGCGGGGGAAGATATTGAGAAGTACTGTATTAATTCTTCTCTGAATGTCTGGTAGAACTCACCAGTGAAGCCATCAGGTCCTGGACTTCTGTTTCCTGGCAGGTGTTTGATTCTAATTCAATCTCCTTTCTAGTAATTGCTCTGTTCAGATTTTCTATTTCTTCATCAACCAGTCTTGTTAGGTTGAATGCTTCTAAGAATTTACCCATTTCTTCTAGCTTACCCAATTTGTTAGTGTATAACTGTTCATAGTAGTCGTTTATGATTCTTTGCATTTCTGTGTTATCAGTTGTAATGTCTCCTCTTTCATTTCTAATTTTGTGTCTTGTCTTGGTGAGTCTAGTTAAAAGTTTAGTCGTTTTTGTTTATCTTTTCAAAAAACCATATCTCAATTTGATTTTTTTCTATTGTCTTTTTAGTATCTATTTATTTCTGCTGTGGTCTTTGTTATTTCCTTCCTTCCACTAACTTTGGGCTCCACTTGTTCTTTACTAGTTCCTTGTGCTGTAAAGTTAGGTTGTTTGAGATTTGTCACGTTTCTTGAATTGGGGATTTATCTCTATGAACTTCTTTCTTACATCTGCATTTGCTACATTCCATATGGTTTGGTATGTTGCATTTCCATTTTCTTTTTTATCTCAAGGTATTTTTTAAAAATTTCTTCTTTGACCCATTGGTTGTTCAGTAACATGCTGTTTTATCCACAAATTTGTGAATTTTCCAGTTTTCTTGTAATTGATTTCTAGTTTCACACCACTGCAGTCAGAAAAAAACGCTTGATATGATTTCAATCCTCTTAAATTTATCAAGACTTGTTTTGTGGCTTAACATACAGTCTATCCTGGAGGATGCTCCTTGTGCACTTCAAAATGTATAGTTTGTTGCTTTGGGATGGATTGTTCTGTATATATATGTTAAGTTAATCTGATCCAATGTGTCATTTAAAGCTGATGTTTCCTTATTGATTTTTGATTCCTGACACGTTACAACATGGACGAACCTTGAGGACGTTAGGCTAAGTGAAATAAGCCAGTCACACACAAAAAGTGGAGTATATGATTCCACTTATATGGGGCATGCAATCAATTTCATTGAGAAGGAATGGTGGTTTCCAGGGACTGGGGGGAGGGGAAATGGGATGCTGTTTAATGGGTATAGAGTTTCAATTTTGCAAGATCAAAGAGTCTGGAGACTGGCTGCACAAAGATGTAAATGTACTTAACACTACTGAAATGCACACTTAAAATTTTACTATTTTAACCATTTTTACGTTACGCGTATTTTATCACAATTAAAAAGAAATTTTAAGCACTGTGTGGAGAACAGTTTGTAGACCAGAAAAATTAGAAGCAAGCTGGCCAGCTGGGATGCTATTGCAGTGGTCCAGGTGAGACAATAATGGCCTGGATTAGAGTGACAGAGGCAGAGGTGGATGAGAAGAAATCAGATTTGGGGGTCATTTTAAAAGTAGAAACAGTAGTACCTGCTGGCAGATTGGATGTTGAGTGTGAAGGAAAATGACAGAGAACTCTGAGGATTTTAACCTGATCGACTGAGTGACCAGCGGTGCCGTTTAGTGCAGTGAGGAACTCTGGGGCAGAGGCCAGCTGCCAGGTGGCAGGCTGATGGCATTGGCCACTTTCCATCAGGGAAAGGGTGACTGCTCCCTTTGAAACAGGCACTTGTTCCCGATTTGGGTTTGGTTCCCTGCCTGTCATCACGCTGCTGCCAGCACTCTCTCTACGGACTTGCTGAATGGCTTATACTCTGTCATATTCTCCCACACGACATCACTTCTGACCATGGAACTCACTTTACAGAGAAAAAGCAGGCCATAGGCTAATGCCCATGAGATTCCCTAACCTCATTAGGCATCCCAACACCAGAAGCAGACAGCTCAGCAGTACAGAGGGATGGTCTGTTGGCAGCCAGTCCCCACACCAGCTGGAGAAACACCGTACAGGGATGCAGCATATGCTCTCCCCAGTGTTGCTGTTTCTCCCTTTAGGGACACTCCCAGAATACATTTGGCCAGGGACCCAGGGAGTGGAAGTGGTGACGGTTAAAATTATACCTACTGACTTACCCAAAACCATTTGCCTCCTTTACTCAAAGATTCTCTCTGGCAGATTTTGGTACCTGGAGTAGAAATGCTTTTGCCTGGTGACAGTCTTCCAAAAATGACTGACTGGGACATCCTGTCAGCCAAGCTAATGAACTCTGAGCCAGATTTGATTTTATGTAGAAAAGTAAAGAAAAGGATTTTCTTATACCTAAGTATCATGGAGCTCTTCACCTCATCATACGTAACCTGCATTTCCAGGTTCCACGTCTACCCAGAGTCCTTGAAACGTGACCCTCCACGGCACCCACGGCCGAGTCTGCCTGCTGATGTGCCCCTCCTTCCCAGCCCCTCACTCCTGTCTGGTATCTACTGCCCACCAGGCTGCCCAGAGGAGCCCATCTGCTGCCCTTACGCGAGGTCACCAGTATCCCTGCTGGCTGCCCTTTAACACAACACCCCAAGGGACCGGGGAGGGGCTGGGACCCACCCTTGCACTGTCGCCTGAGCCACTGCAACACTGCACGTCCCTACCGCTCTCCCAGAGTCTCTCTCAAAGCAGACACTTCTGTATTTTATTTTGTTTCTTGCCTGCAAACAGCAATCAAAACGCTAATAAAAACCCTTTTCCACAGGAACTTGCACCAACTTCATTCCCACAGAGCCAAGCCTCTCCACCCTCACACTCTAAATCAAGACAAACGCCACTCGCCCAAATGCACCAAACATCACTAAACCAGAGCACTTTTCATCACATTCCAGGGAATGGTGACGTCCCTGTTTCTTCAAGAGTAACAGGGCTCCTTTCGTAGTAGAAAAGGGTCTGTTCTAGTACACTTCCTAAAACAGAGTGGGTACCAGTTACTCAGGCCTTAAAGTCAGGTGTACAGGAAACGTAAAATTTTATAGCAATGATGTTTTTGTCTCCAACAGTCGCCACTGACCACCACTCCTCATTCCGTAGGGTGGTAGAAATGAGGTCTTAGCCAATTCAGATCATGATTTCTCAACAGTTCATGTACGCCCGCCCCTCCTGGGGCTGCATCTCAATTCTGGGAATTGGGGATGGGTGGGACTTGCAATCCGCGGTAGGAGAAGCCTGATCCCCCCGGAGCCTCATCCGAGGCATCCCCAGTCCTCCAGGCTGTGCCGCAGCACCCTCTCGCTGGCCTCTGGCCCTCCCGGCTGCAGGCACACTGCCCTCAGCCACACAGGGAAAGGCTCAGCTGCTCCAGCATCCTTTGGGACCCTCTCCCTTTCACCGCTCCCGAGCCACGCCGCGTGGAGGCTCCCAAGGCTGCCGCCCCACGCCACCCCCAGATCCACGGCCTCCCGGCCAGGTCTCCTCACTTACCTGGGAGTTACTACTGGCGAGTTTGGAGTGTGGAGCTGCGAGTGACTGCCTTTCCTTAAGGGGAGCACTGATGCAGGTGGATTCCTCAGCCTGATGCCCAGCAGTGCCTTCTCCCCTCCCCCTCCTTCTGGGCCTTGGCTGTGGCAGGACAGGGAGAGGGGGCTGAGCCTGGACCCCTGCAGTCTTCGGGGTTCCTTCCAGTTTGCAGAAGTCCCCACACCCACCTTCGTTTCTGTATGACAGTCCACCGCCCGATGTTCCGTTTGCCACTGACAAAATCAAGAGAAGCAGAGAAGGCATTTGTTCTTCTGGAAACTTTTAGAGGTTGTCTCAAAACAAAAAGAAAAACCTCATCCCCTTTAGGATGGGGAATGCTTTTCCCTTCTGGTGTTGGAAACTGGGATCGTCCTTCAAAGCGCATCTTGTCTGCAGTGGCTTCATGGCAGGTTAAAGGGGGCCAGTGTGCCTGCAGTCTGGGGTCCTCTACCTGGGTGGTCGGAGCTGGGGTCCTGGAGGTGGAACTATGAGCTACAAGATACAAAACTCATCCCTTTCTGGGACAAAGTTCAGTTCACTTAGGAATTCACAGAATAGCCTTTATGTGCTCCTTTTCTCACCTCTAAATTTCTTTTTGCCGACCATACTGCATAGACTCAGAAACAATAGCACTTTTTTCAAAAGCATGCTCACCCTGGCCCACTAATACTCTAAGTCAACAAACTTCTGAGAAGTTCGCCTCATCTCCGCACACCAGTTTTCTCACGTGCTGGGGTGACCCGTCCCAAATTCCATTCCAGGGTTTGTCATCAGTCTGTAAGGCCAATGTGTCCCTTGACCTTGGACAATCCTTTAATCTCCTATGTGACTCAACTGTCTTCTGTAAAATGGGGTGAATCGTATCTATAACATCACATGTAAAGTCCTTAGGACAGAGCTTGATACATAGTATGCCATCGATAAATGCTACTATTATTATGACTATGTCAATCCCACATGAATCCCGACATGCAGCGGGGTGAATCTCAGGTCACAGCTCGGATATGCAAAAAATGTAACTGGCTTTATTTTCCCCTAAGTCTACTTATTTTTTAATGTTTTGTGCCCACTGCACTAGGTAGCAGAAACTTCCTTCCAATTAATTCAGGGTGATCTCACTCAGTGTAGAGTCTCCCTCTTTCCAGGAGTGTCCAACTCCTGGGCCTTTGTGGGACGCTAATGATCTGGCATCTGGCCAGCTGCTGGCTGAAGTCATCCTAGACGGTCCTGGCCCAGTGCCCCACCTGGGTCCCTGCAGTGGAACTGACTCCCCAGGGAAGCCAGCTTCACACAGGTTACTTCCTGGGGAGGGGGTAGCAGAGAGCAGCTCTGAGAGCAGTCAGCTTCCTCTAGGGGTTCGGGGGGAGTGACACGAGGGAGGGTGTCACAAGGGGACATAAGGGGAATGACGCAAGGGTGGGTATGTGTCTAGATTCCTATACCATGTGTTTCTCATTACCATAGTTTATTTTTACCCAATGCCCTTTACCAGTCAGAGTCCACTGTGAGGCGACCGTCAGACATCCCAGGGAAGGGTTAGTACATCAGAGAAGCAGAGGAAATGCTTTTTGGAGGTTCATACATCTTGGCTTTTCAGTATCAAGAGCCTGGCCTTGAAAGAGTCACGGCATCAGTTTTACACCAAAAACACTAGACTGGAAAGAATATGAGGTGATGGTGAAAGTCAGGGTTTCCAAGCTGAGATGAGACACACATTCTCTAGGTTGGAGGAGGGGAGAGAGGTGAGATAGAAAGGAAACAGGGAAATGAGATGCTGGGGTTGGGGGCGGGGACGGTGACCCTATAGATCAACAGCCAAACTGGGACACTTGGGAAAGTGAGAGAGAGTGCTACGGATAGTGATGCTGGGGCCGCAGGCACCAACCAGGACTGCCCCAGGGAAGCCGCACAGACGGACCTGTATTCACCCTACACAGGGTCCAGCTCCCCGCTCGGAGCCCAGGAGCAAGCCGAGAAACCACAGACGTGCTGGGGGAGCTGGGGGGCCCCTCCTCTTCCTCCTTGCTTCGAAGAAAGCGCCCAGGCGCCCACTACGACTCTGCCTACGCTGCCAGGCAGAGGGGACCTGACAGAGAAGTGAAATGGTTGTGAAGACGGTGACGGATCTTGCACACCTTGAGACGGTGAGCTGAGGTGAGCGCTCGCCTTACAGTGAATCAGAGGACCCGAGTCAGAGTTCCAGGTTCTTGCAACTCGTAACTAAAAGTCCCTCTTTTTGAAAAGACTGCCTTGTGGCTAGTCTTCCAGGGCGTCCATCATATATACATGTGTATCTACACGCAGGACAAGGGGGAGACACTTCCATGGTGTACATTAGAACAATACCCGCAAATGTGCTGAAGCTTCTCCAGGGTTTGAATTCGCAGCATCTGTCTTAGGAAACTAATGGTCCATGCACATTAAAAAGGGTGTATACAGATTTTTAGTTATGTTGTTTATAAGGGTGGAAAATTGGAAATACCCAGGATGTCAGTCAACAGGGGAGGGGTTAAATAAATAGTTGCATCTCCACACTACAAAATACTAGGCAGCAGGTTTTTTTAAATGTGTTACAGTTTATATTGCTCTGAAGCAGAAAAATCCTCATGTATCAATTTTAAATAGCAAAATATAGAACAATATATACAGTATGATATCACTTATGTAAACACACATATACTCACACACCCCAAATCTATGCATGAGAATCTGTATTTGTCTATATTTTCTTATGCGTAAGTAAATGCAAGAAATAAAAATCTGGAAAGATATTCACCAAATTGAAATCAACAGTTACCTCTGAGGAGAGGAATCCAATTAGGAGACTGAAAGTTAAGATAGATGTTTTCACTTCATGGGTATTGTTCAGTTGTTTTTTTTTCTTACAGCACAAATATATTCAGGTATTACTTGTGTCACCCGTTTTTTAAAATTGCCCCCCTTGTAGCAGCCAGGAAACGGATGGTATGACCTAGGATGATTTGAGGAGGGTTTAATGAAGGGACAGTTATAAAGTTACGGGTTCAGGAGGACCACTTAGGACAGTGATGTTACCGCCCCAAACCCAAAGGGATGAGTGGGAGGGAGTCCTGGGGACCCAGATGGAGAAAGTCACGCAGAAAGGTTTCCCGGAGGAGCACTTGGGATGCAACAATGAATCTGGGGAGTTAGGAATCCACTTCCCTGACCTCATTCCCTCCCCCCTCCCGCCAGTCATCTGCTGGAGTCCCCACTGGCCAAATCCAACAGGAAGCCTGAGAGTAAGGGAACTTGATGTTGTTCATACAAGGGGGCTCCTGGGACAGAGACTTGAGAGCACAGTGGCAGAGGGTGGATTTGGAGGAGTAAAAGGAAGATAACAGGCATAAAGCCATCCTCCCTGGACTCCTGTTGAAAAAAGGGGGAGACGTCTACAATGATATACACCACAAGGTCATCTCTGAGTTTGGGGATAATGAATGTTTTCAACTTCTTCCTCTTGCTTATTTATATTTTCTAATTTTTCTATATTAAACACTTAACTGCTTTAAGTTTTTTAAAGTTATTTGGGGCATTGCTAGTAGTCAGGTGATGGTGCAAACATGAAAGACAAACATGAAGGTGGAGGTACCTCTGATTAACTGAAGAATGTAGGAGCAGGAACAGTTAATTAGTATCTCAAATTTGAGGCTCCTCTTGGGTATTAGAAAAAGATCTTTGATAAAAGAAAGGTTGGGGGCTTCCCTGGTAGCGCAGTGGTTGAGAATCCGCCTGCCAACGCAGGGGACACGGGTTCGAGCCCTGGTCCGGGAAGATCCCACATGCCGCGGAGCAACTAAGCCCGTGCGTCACAACTACTGCAGCCCGTGCTCTAGGGCCCGTGAGCCACAACTACTGAGCCCACGAGCCACAACTACTGAGCCCGTGTGCCACAACTACTGCAGCCCGTGCACCTAGAGCCCGTGCTCCGCAACAAGAGAGGACACCGCGGTGAGAAGCCCGCGCACCGCAACGAAGAGTAGCCCCGCTCGTCACAACTGGAGAAAGACCAAGCCAAGCAACAAAGACCCAACGCAGCCAAAAATAAATAAATTTATTAAAAAAAAAAAAAAAAGGAAAGGTTGGTTTTTAAAATAAACAGTGCTGGCATAATTGACTATTCATCTGGAAAAACTAAAAAACTGGACCCCCTACTTCAAACTATGTGCAAAAATAAGCTTCAGATATATTAAAGATCAAAATATAAACACTGAAATGCTAAAAGAAAATTTAGGAGAATGTGTAACTTTTGTGTGGGAGAGGCCAAAAAAGAAAAGGCCAACATATTTGACTACACAGCAATTAGACACTTATGTAAAGGGAGAAAAACCATTAACAAAGTCATGACAAATAATATACTCTGAGGTACATGAGATAGAATTATACCTAATATACAAAGGGCTACCCCTCACGGATAAAAAAGGACAATTCATTAAATGTAGAAATGTGTAAAATAAAGTTCACATTTTATAGCAAGAAAAACTTAAACATAAAACAATTTTTCTCTGCCCTTTGGCCTCCTCTCTCCCCCCACTGTGCATTTTGTATCTGCCTTATGCATCGAAAAAAACTCCCCCACTGGCAGAAATACCTGCTGGCACCAACAAGACAACTCCTTAAAGATAACATTCCTTCCTGATCTTGTCAGGGGGTCAGGATGACCCAATACTTTGTACTTACAGATCTGGATTGTGTGAACTGTCAATAATACATCATCTAATGTCGTCTCTGTCTCAAAAATTTTATGTAACTGTGTTTCGACTTCTAACAGACAGAACAGCTCTTGGAGGTTTCTGAGGGGCTGTTCCCCAGTTATAATCCTCCAATTTGTCTCAAATAAAAGTTTCCTTTTCTTTCATAGATTGACTATTAAGTTTTCATTAACATATGTCTGAATAAATGTTATCTCACCCCCTTTCTGACTTGAATTCTGAGCAAACTGAGAAATATGACAAAAAGTAAGGCAGAAGGGTGCCAAACACCACCTTCAGGCTGGACCAGCAGGTCTGGTGGCAGACGTGGTCTAGCATGAGAGAAGAATGTCCACCTAATACTGGACATGCGAATCCTACAACACGTGACCGGTCAGAGCAGTGCTGCCCCAGCGCAGACCCCTCCCCACGAGAGAAGGGGGAGAAGATGCGCAAGGACCAGCTGAAGTCTCTTCATTCTATCAGACAGGTCACGTGGGCAGAGAAGCCACGAGAAAGAGAGTAGAGAAGGTTCACACCCCTCGCACAGACTGAACCATCCATCGCGAGGGGGAGGACGTGTTCCCCCCTAACAACGCAGAGGAACAAAAAGTTTACCTCTAATGAAAGGAAGCTGACAAAGGGAGGGAGGGAGGAGGAGACACCCTCTCACCGCGTGTGTTTCTGCGGCCGGAGACAACGCGGAAGCTTCCTCACGCGGAAAGCTTCACACCGGGCGAGCAAGAATGCTCACTTCTTCCTCATCAATTTGTGCATCGTTTAATGTGTTCTGGATAGAGTGGCTGTAATTTTTAAAAATCCCAAGAAGTGAAAACGCTGGAGTTCCTTTTCTAGAAAGATGGGGAGCGTTACCTTGGTCAAACGCCAGTGGCACTGAGCGCTCAGGATGGCAGGACAGCCTTGCCCGCCCCGCGGACCGTGGACAGGCGGTTCCAGCCTCAGCCTCAGCCTCAGTCTCAGCAGCAGCAGGGCGCGGGCCCTCGTGGCCCCCAGCCCGGGGTCGCCGAGGCCAGGGACTCGGTAGGCAGGGAACACGACGCTTTCCAGCAGCTGGCAACCGAAAGGCAAGCTGGCCTGGTATCCGGAGAGAAACAAGGCGTGTGCACAGGTTTTGCTTTACTTCGGAGACGTGAGTCTATTCGCGTGCAGTTGACGAGGCGGTGGCCCAGGGAGAGAGCGGGGCCCGCAGACAAGGGCTCCCGTGAGGCACACAGGGACGTCGCGGCCTCTGATTCGGTGGGGAGAAAACCAGGTGTGCGCATGCGCAGGTGAGCGTGTGGGCGGGACGGGAAGACGGCTTCCGGTCAGGCGGAATGTGAGGGCGTCTCCTGCTCGAGAGGTGAGGAGCTTGACGGTCCCACTGAAGGTGGAGACTCCATTTCTCCGTTTCGGTGGTACCCAAGGTAAGGTTAACACCTAACAGCCTCCGTTCGGTGGTGTAAGATATGAGGAGATGTGAGAGTCCAGAACCCTTGGTAGAAGGCGATTCAAGTGGAATCTAATCTGGAGAGAAAAAAAAGAGCCTCTTCATATATAGAGTGCTCTACACTATTGTAACAAGTGCCTATTTTCCACCACCAGCGCCATTAAAGTGTAAAGAATCACTTGCATCCTTGGTCTCTGAGAGGACTATACAGCATGTGGTAATTATTTGGTAAATAACTGTCCACGGAATAACTAAGGGGAAAAAAAGAAGGGTTGACGGAATAGATCCCTCTCATAAGGTAAAGAAGAAAGCACAATGGGCTTCAATTTAATTAGATCCAACAAGTATGGGCATCTCTTCTATACCCTGGGCACTAGGCAAACCACAGTACATAGGCAGCTGCGGTCCTGACCCTCCAGAGCCTGGTCTGGATGAAGACAGTGGGCATGGAGGCTCTGATCAGAGGTTGACGTATGAACTTTAAGATGTGGAGGTGAGGCTGCTGTAGGACAGCTCTGTCCAATTATCTCTTCATTAGTGATAACTGCCCCAGCCAGGTGGGGAAAGGAAGAAAATTCCAGATTATGGCAGGGAGAAGAGTACGATGTACTTGGGGGCGGGGGGGGGGGGGAGCAATGCCAGCGGTGAAGGTGGGAAAAACAATGCAGCACATCATGGCTACAAGCATAAGCTTTGGTTCAGACTGGAATTCAAAATCAAACTCCTCCTCTACAATGAGACTTGGGTACGTTAACACCCAAGGCAGTGATGCTCAACTGAGGGTGACTTTGCCCCACAGGGAATACTTGGCAATGTCTGGAGACAGTTTTGGTTTTCCCAACTGGGTGGGAGGAGAGTGGGATGCTACTGACATCTAGTGGGTTGAGGCCAGGGATGCTACTCAACATCCTACAAGGCACAGGACAGCCCACGACAAAGAATTATCCAGTCTCAAATATCAGTACTGCCTGTGAAACTCTGCTTCAAGACTTATCTGTAAATAGTTTTAATGATACCAACCTTACAGAGGTTTTATGAGAGTGAAATGATTTAATGTCTATTAAATACCCGTGTCACCAAACCAGGTTCATTTGCCCGTGGTGCAGCACACCGGAATGCTGAGACCCCGAGGTTTGCAGCAAAGAGAGAGCTATTCATAAGGCAGACAAGTCTCAAATCGCCCCTCCCCCGCCCCCCGAGGGCAAGGGGCTGGGATGCTTGTGGGAGGAAGAGTAAAGAAGCAGGGCAGGGCGGTCTGAGGCTTGGGGAGCACAGGGAAAGGTGATTGGAAACAGCTGTGACAGCAGCCTTTCTGCACAGGCGTAGCTCCACTACTGGCCTCAGAAGGTGGCAGAGCAGATGCTCTCACGTGTGCAGGTGGAAGGTCAGTGGTCCCATCCGGTGTTAACCAGCCCAGCTCCCACTAGACACAGCTGTCGCCAAGTTCCTAGAAAACAACTCAGGCAAACCTCTTACTGTTCAGACGTGCTGCTTGGAGGACCCAAGTCTTCTGTAGCAACAATTAAAACAACTGTGATTATCTTACAGTTGAAATGGATTTAACTAGTGATTACGCACGGTTTCACCTGCCATAGAGAATGAGAATAAGGGAAAAAATGAGGAGTAATACTAAAATGAAGAGAGGAAGATGCTAAAGACAATTTCTCATTGCAATTTTGGATCAAACATTTGTTTGCAGGGCATGGAAAGCCATCTCTTGCTTTAATTGCTGATCCTATGACCAGACACTGGATTTACTGTAGATCTGAAGCTGAACCCCCACAGGGCAAACTGATATCAGCTAAGACCCTAAAACCACCAGTGTTGGGAAGGCTCACCCCCATGAGAAGAGAGAGGAAACGTTTTCAGTGTCCACTTGGAAGAGCTGTGAAGGTGGAGGGGAGCCAGCGATACCTGCGTCCAACAAGAGGGTGGAGTCTGCTTGTGTTTAATGCTGGGGTTGGGAGAAGAGGAGGCGCCTCCAGTTTTTTCCCCCCTTTCATTTTAGTAGTTGCAAAATATTATAAACTCAAATCTGAGAGGATATAAAACTAAGACTATTTGTTGGCCAAATCAAAGTGCTTCACTTTTTATTTAAAATTTTATTTATCTTTTAAACCTTTACATAAAGGTTATGTAAACCTTTATGTAAACCTTTACATAAACCTTTATGTAAGTCATTCCATGTTCATTGGTAGAAAAGAAAAACGGAAAACGAATAAAGAAAAAAGGAAAGGAAGGAAGGATGGAAGGAAAGAAGGAAGGAACCTGACAAAAAGAAAAAAGTCACATATAATCCAACTACTCAAAAATAATTGCAATTTTTTCAGTATGCATTCCTTTAGATTTTTTCTATGCATATGTAACATTATGTATACCTCTAAAAATAAAATTGGATCATCTCAATCGAAAACTTTGTAACCTACTTTTTAAATTTACATCTTTAAATAATACATCTTAAAGAGTTTTCAATATCTTTGTTTCCATATGTATTAACTTGTCAAAATATAAACAGCTTTTCCCCTAATTACAGAAGGAATAACCACTGAATGTAAAAGAAATGCAAGCAATATGGAAGCATATAGAAAAAAAAAAGGAAAAAAAACAAAGTATTTGAGTTAGGAAACCATGACTTCAGTTGGCATAAACACATAAACAACAGAAAGCTCAGAGCTAGGATGAGCTCAAAGATGTCATCAAGATCCCAGGGTCCTTCTATCTGTCTCCTCTGCTGCTCACTGACCTCATCTACAAGGTCATTCTCCTCATGGTCACAAGATGGCTGCCAGTGGCAACCAAGTGCACAGTCCCTTCTTTATGTCCCCCTGCCGTGGAATGTAAGCAGGTTCTTTCAGCCTCATTGCCTCAACCTGTGTCACATGCCCTCCCCAATCCATAGCGATCAGCAGGGCAATCCTATTCACTGATGAACCTGGAGTGGGGGGTATGTGGAGGAGCCACATGCATGGCTGAATGCATGGCGGAGTCTTCAGCCACCGCATACACTGTAAGTCCTGTGTCTCCGCGAGGCGCGCAGTCTTTTCCTTTTTTTTTGTTTTGTTTTGTTTTGTTTTTGCGGTATGCGGGCCTCTCACTGTTGTGGCCTCTCCCGTTGCGGAGCACAGGCTCCCAATGTGCAGGCTCAGCGGCCATGGCTCACGGGCCCAGCTGCTCGGCGGCATGTGGGATCCTCCCGGACCAGGGCACGAACCCAGGTCCCCTGCATCGGCAGGCGGACTCTCAACCACTGCGCCACCAGGGAAGCCCCGTTATGTTATTTTGATCAAATGTTTCTTTTTAACTTACTTAAGCATAGAAGCAATTTTCTGAAGTTTTCTTCCAATGTGAGCTTTTGCTTGTTCTTATGCATTTTGACCTCCTGAAACAGAAGAGCAAACCCGACTCCATACTGGATCTATTCCTTTAGCTCTAACCCTGTGCTGTTGCCTGTGCTTAGTCATGCTGGCTCTGCACCTTTTGTAAAAGAATGTTGCCTGTGGCCTGAAATATACATACAGGATAGCCCATTCTCAAGGCTCTGACCTTTAAAGGAATAACACTTTCCCATTCATACAGAGATAAAAAGCTGCAGAACAGAAAAAAAACAATTGTCTTGTTGGTTTATAGGAACATCTTGACCAGACCTACATGGACAGCTGCAAAAACAAAGGATTCCAGCACTAAGAAGTTTGCAGCAGCCAGCCATACCCCCTTCCCTTTTCGCATAAGAGAAGCCCGAATTCTAACTCAGGTAATGTGGCTCTTTGGGACACTAGTCCACCATCTTCTCGGTCTGCTGGCTTTCCAAATAAAGCCGCCATTCCTTGCCCCAGCAGCTTGTCTCTTGACTTACTGGCTTGTTGTGCGGTGAGCAGTATGAGTGTAACACACTCCTTTCCTCCTCTTCCTTTTTTTTTTTTTTAAGGGGATGAGGGGTAGAATTATTGCACAGACCCCAAGCTGGGTTTCTTCTTGTTTAGTCATTTTGAAATAGCGCCCATTCTACATGGGCTGCTTTTCACCCCAAAACAGTATCTACGTGGTCTTTTTACTCCCTGTTTACCTGAGCACGGTCTGCATCTTCCCTGTAGAGGGTGAGTGAGCTGGGGCTTTAGATCAGCATCATTTGTATCTGTTGGTCCCAAGCTGCCTGGGAAGAGTGGGGAGGGGCGTGTTTCCACGAGCCCTCAGTGCTGGGAACTGTTTTCACATTCACCTTATTTTTGATTCTGTTGAAACCCTCGTCTGGAGGCCCGGCCCGGTGAATAGAGCCTGCCCTGTCCCGTGGATGGCGGTGGGTCTGGAGGTCTGGGTTTGTCTCCCCTCTCTGGCTGCTGGAAGCTGTGGTCAGAGCCCAGCCGAGCGGTGTGAACGCCTTGCCTGGTGTGGCCTCAGGCACTGCCCCCTGCCCAGCTTGCTCTGTCCGGAGCTGCTGGCCCCTCAGAGAGAATTGCTGCTGGAAGCTCATTTCTGGCCTCTCTCCCACCACTGTGACCTTCGGCTGATGTTTGGCTTTCACTTAGGAAGAAGGGCCCCGGGTGGAACATTCCAGATCTTTTCTCTCGCCAACTCAAGCCCCCATTTCCTGTCCCTCCAAAGTGAGAAAACTTTTTAGCGGGCCTCTTCTCACCACATCGTGCAGCTCACTCCAAAAGGGGAGCTGTGGGTTGGTTCCCAGATTTTATATCCATTTGGGCTTGATTGTTTTGTATTTTGGATATATCAGATGTTTTGTATTTAGATTTGTATTTCCTGAAGTCTGTGGTATGAGGTTGGGAAATTTTCCTAGATTTGTTGTTGGATGGTGTTTTCTTTGGTGTATCTTGTTCTATTCATTCCAGTATTGGAAGGAGATTTTTGTAAGCCTGCTAATACAACCCAGTCTTTCCTGATTGCCCCAGAGCATTTTATTTTATTTATTTATTTATTTATATTTATTTAGTTTTTGGCTGTGTTGGGTCTTCGTTGCTGTGCATGGGCTTTCTCTAGTTGTGGCAAGCAGGGGCTACTCTCTGTTGTGGTGCGCAGGCTTCTCGCTATGGTGGCTTCTCTTGTTGCGGAGTACAGGCTCTAGGCGTGCAGGCTTCAGTAGTTGTGGCACGCAGACTCAGTAGTTGTGGCGCACGGGCTTAGTTGCTCCGCGGCATGTGGGATCTTCCCAGACCAGGGCTCAAACCCGTGTCCCCTGCATTGGCAGGCAGATTCTTAACCACTGCGCCACCAGGAAGTCCTGCCCCAGAAGCATTTTAATGGTTACGTAGCATCCCAGCCCCATGGATAAAGCCAAATGTTCTTAACTGATTTCCAACTGGCAAACAGGTGATTTCCAATTTTTTATCATTATAAAAATGTTGCAAAAACTATGTGCGTAATATGTGTACACATCTCTGGTGATTTCTTTAGTGAGTGATCACATTTTCAATAATGATAAGTTCAACTGTACTTTGCCCCTTCTTGGCGTTGTCTTCGTTCTGCAGCTTAGTGGTTCTAAATAAAACCATCATGAAAATCCTTTGCCATATTGTGGAACAGTCTCGGCACCTTCTCTTTCCGCCAGACCATATGTTGACCCAGATACACTAATCCCTCCATGGAGCGACATGATTGGTCCACCAGGGATGTGCATTATCCTCATTTCCTCTCTTCCTTTACACCCCCTCATGGTCCATGCATCCTCCACAGCTTCTCACAATGCACTTTCTACTTACTCTCTTTCATTTTTGGCTGTTTTTTTCCCACACACTTCTGAAGTTTGGGGATCCATTTCTACCAAGGCTTTTGTCTCGTAGAGATCAAAGCTAAGTAATAGGCACCTGCTTCCTAGTGTCCTACTCCTCAGAATCTCTGTCTCTGTCTCTCTCTCTCATGCATGCTGAAACCCTGATGTATCAATGTCAGAAGGCAGAAACCAATCATCTTGTGTTCATCAAACTATGAAGACCACCTGCAGAAAAACACTCAGGGGTGCTTTTGTTAAAATCCACATTCCTGGACTGCACCTCAGGTTTGCTGGATCACAAATCTCTAGGGATAGGGACGAAGAATCTCTGTTTTATTGAGCTGTCTAATGATTCTGGTACTTGTTAAAATGTATATCATTTTAAATGCTATATCAAAGCTCAACTCCATGTAAACTAACACAGTAACTCCCTTCCTATCATGCCTTTTAAATAAAGATTGTATTAATCGTGTTTCCAGATTGCTGGTAACACGGACACACTCTGCACAGATCCGAAAACCACAGCGTGGTAGAGATGACAAGAGCACCACTTCTGGCCCTCCTCTCCTTCCTAGTTGCTTACTGTTAGGTTGGGGCCACGTGACCAGTTCTGGGCTGTGAGTAGGGTTTAGCTGAGTCCTCCACGGCATGCCTTTGCTGTGGTGCCCTTGAAGCCACGTGCTGAGATGCAGTGTGAAGAGCATGGAGCCAGCGTCAGCTTGAGTCTCTGATGGTCTGTGGAGCAAAACTCCTGTCACCCTTCACTGGATGTGCCACGTAGGCTAGGACTATAAGTCATGGAGATTTTAAGGTTACTTGTCACTGCAGCAAGACCTAGTGTTGTTCTGAATAATAAAACTAAAACCTCGATTTCTTGTTCATGCACCAATGTATCTGAGGGTCTTCTGTTCATTTTAAGTTATAAAAAGAATTCTCCAGTTCTACAAATCTGAGCTTTATTAGAATATTGACTTCCTAAAATCGACTCCTGTCTTCGTAACTAATTTTACCACATTTTAATCTGTGCAAATGGGAGGAAAAAAATTCTGTGCGTGAAAAAAGGAAACTAAATGCCCTGGGAAAAGTAAATGAGGTAAAATGAGTCAGTCAGTGGTTGACCTAGAGAAAGAACCCAGAACTTGCTCTGCTACCTGGCTGACAAATCTCTACCATTAAACCATGATGGGAAACCAAATTTCTCTTAAATCCAAAATGCACAAGTACTATAAACAATATCTACAGTTGGCCCTCCATATCCGCGAGTTCAGTATCAATTCTATTCAAACGGGATCCGAGGTTGGTTAAAGCCGCTGATGCGGACCCGCGGATACAGAGGACAGACCGTGTACCACGCCAGCTATACAAAGCACTTGAGCGTCCAGAGGACTGTGGTTTCCACAGGAGTCACAGATACCGAGGGAGGACTGTATTTAACCTGCCACATCATTTCTTGTTGAGTCCGAATGTCTTTTTAACTTCTGATTATCTTACTCAACTCTAGTTATGGTTCAGTTCAGTCATATCTGCCATGTAAACTTAGGCCCAGCCTTAAAAGCAGTGCCAACCCTTCCGAACCTCCTACCCCTACCCCCAGCTGTAGAGGACAGAGGAATGCGGACTGTATACACATAAAGCTGTATTTGATTCTAGCCAGACTAAAATGGCAGGGGTATATTATTATTCAGTCCCCCAAACCCAAAATTTCAAATAACATATAAAGTAAAATGCTATTCTGTAAATATCAACACGTCACAGAACCTCTAATGTATTCTGATATACGTCTTTACCAAGCTCAACTCCAAAGGAAAACTTTGAAGGGAAATGGGAATGCATGCTCTTTCTGTAAAAGAGTGATTCCTCATGGTTTTGAAGAGGTTCTGCCTTGTTCTTCCACTTATGTGTGTGAGTTTAACACAAGGGACTCCAGAGGGTCAGAGAGTGGTGGGTACTTTCCGTCACCCCTCCCCCATGACAGCACCGGGGGCGTCCTCAAGGGCCCTGCTGGGCGGGGACCAGAAGCCTGAGCGCCCCAGCCCGCGGGGAGGGCGTCCAGCACGGGGCTAACTGCACACAGCAGAGAAGGGAAGAGCACAGCAGGGGACGTGTCCTTCCAGAAAGAGCACCCCTTCCTCACCCTGGGCCATGTTTTCAGGTTTTCACAAAAGGACAGCAGATGGGACTTCGGTCCAGGAAAGGCGAAGAATTTGTGTGGCTGGAACTTGGGCGGGTGTGAGGATCCAGGCACAAGGCCGGGTGTGCCCTAGTCCAGCAGGAAAGCCAGTCCTGCCCTGCCCTGGGCGGGCGGCAGCCGAGGGTCACCGAGTCGCCACGGGAGACACCGGAAGGATGGAGAAGACGCGGGGGAGGGGGAGGGGAGCGCGGCTTCCTTCGCTGCCCTTCTCTCCCTGCCGCCCGTGCCAGAGCTCGCCTGGCAGCGGGGGACCAGCCCCGCGGCACGGCGGCCCCTGCGTGCAGCACAGAGAACACTTCAGGACGGGGCCAGGTGAACCCACCTTCAGGCTCGTGGCGTGGCGCGCGCTTCTAGCCCCTGCGGGAGTGAAGACCTCTGTTCCCCGGCGGCCGGTGGGAAGCAGCCTCGTCCAAGGTGACACACCGTTCCCTGCGTGGCCCACATCCAGCGACAGGCTGACCAAGCCTCCCTGTGAGACGGGACAGCTCCGAGGGCACCCTGGCCTCAGGGCCCAATTTCCGCCCAGTCCTATTTCCTTCCCCGGGTGCGGTGCTGGGAGCACCCCGCACGAATGCACGCTCGTCTCCAGCTCAGAGTTGGCTTCCTGGGGACCCAAGTCTCAGCACTGGCGTTTGTTTCACCGTCTAGAAAACAATAGCACACACTTTCAGAATTTTGTACAAAACTCTCTCTTAGGTATGGTACAACTTCTGATTGTTGACGGTTCATATTGAGCTCATGTTAGAAGACAAACGATGAAACTGGAAATTATTGTTTAGTTTTGTTTCGAAAATGACAGCTTTTAAGAATTGAAGGCTTCGTAATCTGGGGACACGACCTTGGAGTCTGAGGGGTTCAGCTGACTAGGACAAGACGCTCACATGCAGAGCAAGCTGTGATGTCAGGGAACAAACAACCCTGGTCAAATGAGCCCCAGTTCATGGCCAGTAACTTTTAAAATTTTCAGTTGTTGCTTAGTTGAACCCCTGTCTTCTCCTCCACTAGCTAGGGGGTGCAGAATACGCGTCAGCAAATCTCCCCCAAATGAAGCCCCCCAGCAAAGACAGAAGGAAGAGGCCTCCTGACCCAAGGCGCCTGCGCTTGTATAGAAATTGGGTAGTTACTGAGCAGCGGGGGTGGCCTTTAGGGGCAGACTGTGGGTGAGCGCCAGAAATGGAAATAGCAGGATGGACCCCTTTACCTCCAGGAGAGAAAGGGAGGGAGGGAGAGGGAGGGGGGAGAAATGGGGAGAAAGGGAGGGGAGGGATTCGGAGAAAAAAAAAAGGATCTGGGGAAAGGCCATAGCAGGAAGCCCCTGGCACATCAAAATCCCCGTTTTGGTTAAAAATGGCCATAATGTATGTGTAACTCTTTTGATAAAGATCTGTGGTCTCCTGAAGGAGCTGTAACCACGGGCATGTCAAGTGACAAATAAAATAATAAGAAGCGAGAGAGAGGGGCTGATTTTTTTTTTAAGTTTATTCTCTTCCTGATTTTTTTCCCCAGAAAGCAACTGTTTAAAATTAAGAAATAGCTGCAACCCTTCTGTAATACGCTCTGGGGAAAGAAAAGAGAAGAGGAAGGAAAGCAGCTACAATATCGCAAAAAAGCCTGTGCGGTGTCAGCTTAAGTTGGAAATGGTTTGGAAGCTCATCAGAAGGGAAAAAGAAACGTAGGAAGAAAAAGATGAATAATCAGAAACAAAAACAATAAAATTCTCATTATATACAGAAAACATTAAACTACTTGAGAGGACTTATTAAAAGCACATTTGTTAGCATATTCCTTTGGGAAGAAGTGGGAAATGCTGCCTTGTGAGTGTTCTCCATCTGATTTCTACCATGAGAAGAATTTTAAAGGCCTTAATACAGGAATCAGCAGAGGCATGTGTTTCTCTCCAGCCACGCCCCCTCCTGTGACCACCCCCCCCCCTTGACCTATGATCACCCCCATTCCATTCTATGACTGAGAGGCCCAGGGTGATCATGGGGGAATCTACTAAGAAGCCTCTAGAATATGTTTTTATATACTCCTAACAATTCAACAAAATCGCAGATTGCAAATTTTGAATGTTGTCCTTGCAAATATTGTACCACTTCAAATGCAGTCCTTTAGGTAATTACATTTGATTTGAAATCATAAAAGGTAGAATTTTCTTTCTTTTTATTTTTAAAAGGTTGCTTTTTAAAAAAAATTTAATTGAAATATAGTTGATTTACAATGTTGTGTTAGTTTCAGGTGTACAGCAAAGTGATTCAGTTATATATATAAAGTTTTTATATACTGAATGAAGTCAGACAGAAAGAAATATTGTATGATATCATTTATATGCGGAATCTAAAAAAAATGATACAAATGAACTCATTTACAAAACAGAAACAGACTCACAGACTTAAGAGAACAAACTTATGGTTACCAGGGTGGGGAGGGAGAGTTTGGAACTAACATGTACACACTACTATATATAAAATAGATAACGAACAAGGACCTACTGTATAGCACAGGGAACTCTACTCAATATTGTGTAACAACCTAATTGGAAAAAGAATTTGAAAAAGAATAGATACATGTTTATGTATAACTGAATCACTTTGTTGTACACCTGAAACTAACACAACATTGTTAATCAACTATACTCCAGTATAAAATAAAAAGGTTTTAAAAAGTTCCTATGTATATAATTCTTTATGTAAAACTTTATATATATAAAGTTTATATAAATCTAAAATATATATATAGATTCTTTTCCATTATAGATTATTACAAGATACTGAGTATAGTTCCCTGTGTTAAAGGTTTCTTTTCTTAGTGTTAACATTATATCAGCCAGAATAGGCCTTTAGCCTGTTTGCCTGACAGTCTCAGGAGGTAGGGGTGGCACATAATAGAGAAGAAAATGATTTATAGAGCTTTCTTTCTAAAAGAATCTTAACTCACTGAGTTTGGATACTAATCTCATCAGTATTTTATTCTCAGTTTAGACGTCAAGTCCCACACGTGTGAAGAGATAATCTAAGTACAAGCCAAGGATGAACACTCATCCTTGACCTCTAGACCAGTCTGTGCATGAAGCCCACCCCCTGAAGTGGTTTGTGGTGCATACTTTAAGGAGCTGGTGTGTCTTTCTGCTTTTCTACCAATTACGCCTGTTTGGGAATGGAAGCTTTTCCTAAGTGTGGGGTTTTAAATATACACCCACAGATCCTTTCTTTGTTGCTTCTCCCTCAGGAGGTGACACTTAATCCCTCTCTCCTTGAGTGTCGGCCAGATCTAGTCTTTCACTTCTAGCCAGTAGAATTTGGGAGAAATGATGAGATGTCATTCCTTTCTTATTATTTATTTATTTATTTAAATTGTGGTAAAATATACATAAAATTGACCATTTTAACCATTTTCAGTATACAGCTCAGTGTACAGTTCAGCCTTGTGAGAGGCCCTGACCAAGAACCGCCTAGCTAAGCTGTTCCCAGATTCCTGACCCAAAGGAGCTGTGAGTGGTTGTCTTCAGTGCAAGGTTCGGTCCAGTGATATTCACATTGTTGTACAACCATCACCACCGTCTACCTCCAGAACAGTTTCTTCATCCCAGACTGACACTTGGCACCCATTAAACAACTCCCTGTTCCCCCTGCCCCACCCTCTGACAGCCACCATTCTTCTTTCTCTATTGAGTTTGGTTATCCTAGGTACTTCCTGTAAGAGGAATCGTACAGTATTTGTCTTTTGTGACTGGCTCGTTTCACTTAGCATAATATCCTCAAGTTTCATCCATGTTGTAGTGTGTGTCCGAATTTCCTTCCTTTTTAAGGCTGAATAATATTCCATTGTGTGTATATACCATATCTTGTTTATCCACTCATCTGTGGATGAACACTTGGGCTGCTTCCACTTTTGGCTATTATGAATAATGCAGCTATGAACATGGGTGTACAAGTCCCACTTTCAGTTCTTTGGGGTTTATAAACTTGTGAGTGGAATTGCTCAATCATATGGTAATGCAAAGCTTCATTTTTTGGATGAATTGTCAAACAGTCTTACATGGCAGCTGAACCATTTTACATTCCCACCAGCAGTGCACGAGGGCTCCAATTTCTCTACATCCTCGCCCATGCCTGTTGCTTACTGTTTGTTGATAATAGTCACCTTAATAGGTGTGAGATGAGATGTCATCTCTAAGACTAGGTTCTTCAAAGATTGTGGCTTTGGTCTCTGATGTGTGTGGTTCTCCTTCTCTGTCTTTCCCCCCCTTCAATCACTCACACTGAGGAAAATCAGCTGCCCTCTTGCAGGGAAGATATGGGGGAGAATCAGGCTGCCTGGCTGCGAGTACACTCTGGCAGCTGGAGCCACCTGCCCAGTGAAGAATGAGGACTCCTGCCAACAGCCTGGGGGCCGGGGGGCTTGGCAGGAGACCCCCCTTCAGGCCTTGAGATGGCCGCAGCCTGTGGGAGACCCCAGCCCAGAAGCATCCAGCCACACCGATCCCAGAGTCCTGACCCATAGAAACTGCGAGGCAACAAATGTTTGTTGTTTTCTGTCATTAAATGTGGGGTAGGGCTTCCCTGGTGGCACAGTGGTTGAGAGTCTGCCTGCCGATGCAGGGGACGTGGGTTCGTGCCCCGGTCCAGGAAGATCCCACATGCTGCGGAGCGGCTGGGCCCGTGAGCCATGGCTGCTGAGCCTGTGCGTCCGGAGCCTGTGCTCTGCAACGGGAGAGGCCACAACAGTGAGAGGCCCGTGTACCGCAAAAAAAAAAAAAAAAAAAAAAGTGGGGTAATTTGTTAAGCAGCAACAGATAACTAATATGGGACCCATAACTAATAAAGGGGAAATGCTACCAGTTTGTTCAACAGTTTCACAAATATTTCCTGGGCAGCTGTGCTGGGCTGTTCTGGGCAATGGGGAGACCACAGTGAGCAGAGAGGAAACATTAGGAGATAAATCCCACGGAGCTTATAGCCTCATGTACCACGTGACTTTTAGCTCTGAGCACGTGTCTGAGCCAGTTTCGGCCTTAAGTGGTAATGACTCCAGCACATTCAAGCAGAAAGGGATTCCACAGGGAATTGGGTCGACAAAAATCACTGCAAAGGCTGGATGAGAAGACCGTGGCGGAACTTTCAGAACTAACCCCAAGACCAGCACCGCAGAACTGGCCCCCAGGGAGGAACTGCCTTCTCAGTTACTGTGTGAATCTGGAGAGCCCTGGGTGAGCTCTGAGAGCGCAGGGCTTCTGCTGTGACCCCACTGCGAGGCGGGCGCCTTCAGCCCAGCCCTCTGCTGTTCCTGCCTCGTCCTCTGTACCCCCCTTCCACAAATAGCATGTGCGCAGCTGCTGGGTGGAAGCAGGGTGGGTGCGTGTGGGACCCAGGCTGTACACACAGTGGGATACATGGTCTCCACCTGGCTGGTCTGTAGAGTGAAGCTCATTCAGAGAGGCAGAGTGGGCCAGGCTCCGGCATCTCCTCCAACATGACCCACGGGGTCAACAAATACTCTCGGATGAGAATCCTGCTACAAAAGTAGAACTAGGATGGATCCACTGTATCGATGACTGTCATTCGAAGAGACCTGAAAACAGGGAGCTCAGGTATATTGAGTAGCTGCTATGTGGCTGGGACTAGATTATGAATTTGTGTTGTTATTTTATTTACTAATCACAACAACCCTGCAGGATAGGTATTATTAGCCCTATTTTCAGGTGGAGAAAGCAAGGCTCAGCCAGATTGAATCACTTGGGCAAGGTTCGATGATAAATAGAGGTTAAAAACAGAAAAAAAGAAAATTGAAACAGGCATTTCCTTCAAACCCCAGGGCACTGCATTCTTAGTGCCACACAACATAATGATAGTAGTGATGGGAGAAGTTTTCACATATTGAGGTGTGGGGAAGTCATTTTGGCCTATTAAACATGCATTGTATACCTACTTTAACCGTTAAAGGAAAGAATGCATTTGAGAATCAAAATGGAGTAACTGTGGTTCAGGCATTAGAAATGGAGCCGGTGGCCGCTGAGGATGTGGTTTCAGACACCTTCCTGCATCCCTGGGAACTTGAATTTTCTGAACTGTATCAGACTCGAGGACACCACCAGCTGTTCTCAAACCAGTATCTGCTGGCAGCGGCCAGCTGCAATCTTATGGTCTCAGGGTCTCCCCCGGTAACTACACAGCCATTTCAGACCCCAACCAATCCTTGCTTAACAAGCACCCTTACTTCTTCCAGCTCCAGTCCTAATTCTTGACAAACAACTTATGTGATTTTGCAGTTTTTGCCTTTATAAGCCTCCCCCATTTTGTAGTCCAGAGGAATACAATTCAAGCGCTTTTCGAATCTGGGTCTCTCCAGCTATTGTCCTAGGACAATGTGGGCGCCCCAATAATTGTGTTAGTACATTATAAGCCATTGGGAAAGTAGTAATCCACAAGTCCATAATAATAGTAATAATAATAACCAATAGTAAGTGATAAGTATCTGGGGATGAGAGAAGACTCTTGATGAGGGCTCACTGACCAGTGTGAAGGGTGTGCTGGAGATGGACACTCACAGTAAAGCCTGGATCAGGCAAGAATCATCAAGATGCTCAATCCAGGTACTTTGATGAGGGGCTTGGTGTCTCCCCCGAGACTACTTATTGGTTGTAAGAGGGAAGAAAACAGCAAATTATATGATCTAAATCAACATCACCAGGGAGGAACAGAGGACTACCACGTGCCTCCAGAAGTGGTCCTGAGAAGAGTATATTACCTGTGTAGTATTTTGGTCAAGAATGTATAACTGCATCTCATCATGAGGAAACTAGGCAAAAGCAAAGTGAGGAATATTCTATTTTAAAAAGGGGGTGGGGAGCTGTATTTTTCAAACATTTCAAGAAAAGCTATAGAAATGTTCTAGATTAAAAGGAGACTGGGGGCTTCCCTGGTGGCACAGTGGTTGAGGGTCCTCCTGCCGATGCAGGGGAAGCGGGTTCGTGCCCCGGTCCGGGAAGATCCCACATGCCGTGGAGCGGCTGGGCCCGTGAGCCATGGCCGCTGAGCCTGCGCGTCCGGAGCCTGTGCTCCACACGGGAGAGGCCACAACAGTGAGAGGCCCGTGTATCGCAAAAATAAATAAATAAATAAAAGAGACCGAAAGAGACATGACAACTAAATTAAATTGTTTACTGGAGGGAAAAAAATTTCTGTAAGGGACATTATTGATTTAAATGACAAAACTGGAATACTGTTACCAATGATAGATTAGATTAGGTAAAAGCATTGCATGGTGTTAAATTTACTGAAGTTAGTAACTGTGCAATTGTTAGGAAATAAACAGTGAAGTATATGGAGATAAAGAGCCTTAATGTATGTAACTTACTCTCATATAATTCAGAAATAATATTTGGAAGAGATAGAGCAAATGATAAAGTGAATGAGGTAAAGTGTTAAGAATAGGGGAACAATGTGGATGTTCTTAGTACTATATATACTTTTTCTTTTTTAATAGATCTTTATTGGAGTATAATTGCTTCACAACACTGTGTTACTTTCTGTTGTACAACAACGTGCATCAGCCATATGCACACACATGTCCCCATATCCCCTCCCTCTTCAGCCTCCCTCCCAGCCTCCCTATCCCACCCCTCTAGGTGGTCGAAAAGCACCAAGCCGATCTCCCTGTGCTATGTGGCTGCTTCCCACCAGCCAACTATTTTATATTTGGTAGTGTATATATGTCCATGCCACTCTCTCACTTCGTCCCAGCTTCCCCCTCCCACCCCATGTCCTCAAGTCCATTCTTTATGTCTGCCTCTTTATTCCTGCCCTACAACTAGATTCATCAGTACCGTATATATATATATATATATATATATATATATATATATTTTTTTTTTAGATTCTCTATATATGCGTTCGCATACGGTGTTTTTCTCTTTCTGACTTACTTCACTTTGTATGACAGACTCTAGGTCCATCCACCTCACTACAAATAACTCAATTTCATTTCTTTTTATGGCTGAGTAATATTCCATTGTATATATGTGCCACATCTTCTTTATCCATTCATCTGTCGACGGACACTTAGGTTGTTTCCACGTCCTGGCTATTCTAAATAGAGCTGCAATGAACATTGTGGTACACGACTTTTTGAATTATGGTTTTTTCAGGGTATATGCCCAGGAGTGGGATTGCTGAGTCATATGGTAGTTCTAGTTTTAGTTTTTTAAGGAACCGCCATACTGTTCTCAATTGTGGCTGTATCAATTTACATTCCCACCAACAGTGCAAGAAGGTTCCCTTTTCTCCACATCCTCTCCAGAATTTATTGTTTCTAGATTTTTTGATAATGGCCATTCTGACCAGCGTGAGGTGATATCTCATTGTAGTTTTGATGTGCATTTCTCTAATAATTAGTGATGTTGAGCATCTTTTCATGTGCCTCTTGGCCGTCTGTATGTCTTCCTTGGTGAAATGTCTATTTAGGTCTTCTGCTCATTTTTTAACTGGATTGTTTGTGTTTTTGATATTGAGCTCCATGAGCTTTTGTATATTTTGGAGATTAATCCTTTGTCTTTTGTTTCATTTGCAAATATTTTCTCCCATTCTGAGGGTTGTCTTTTTGTCTTGTTTATGGTTTCCTGTGCTGTGCAAAAGCTTTTAAGTTTAATTAAGTCCCATTTGTTTATTTTTGTTTTTATTTCCATTGCTCTAGGAGGTGGGTCAAAAAGATCTTGCTGTGGTGTATGTCATAGAATGTTCTGCCTATGTTTTCCTCTAAGAGTTTTACAGTGTCTGGCCTTACATTTAGGTCTTTAATCCATTTTGAGTTTATTTTTGTGTATGGTGTTAGGGAGTGCTCTAATTTCATTCTTTTACATGTAGCTGTCCAGTTTTCCCAGCACCACTTATTGAAGAGGCTGTCTTTTCTCCATTGTACTTTCTTGCCTCCTTTACCAAAGATAAGGTGACCATATGTGTGTGGGTTTATCTCTGGGCTTTCTATCCTGTACCATTGATCTATATTTCTGTCTTTGTGCCAGTACCATACCATCTTGATTACTGTAGCTTTGTGGTATAGTTTGGAGCTGGGGAACCTGATTCCTCCAACTCCATTTTTCTTTCTCAAGATTGCTTTGGCTGTGCCACTAAGATCAGGAACAAGACAAGGATGTCCACTCTCGCCACTCTTATTCAACACAGTTTTGGAAGTCCTAGCCATGGCAATCAGAGAAGAGAAAGAAATAAAAGGAATACAAATTGGAAAAGAAGAAGTAAAACTGTCACTGTTTGAAGATGACATGATACTATACATAGAAAATCCTAAAGATGCCACCAGGAAACTACTAGACCTAATCAAAAAATTTGGTAAAGTAGCAGGATACAAAATTAATGCACAGAAATCTCTTGCATTCCTATACACTAACAACAAAAGATCAGAAAGTATTATTCTTTCAACTTTTCTGTAAGTGTGAAATTATTTCCACATAAAAAAGGGAAAACATTTTTTCAGTCTGTGAGATCACTTTTCACTTTTACCTAATTTTAATATGACAAATTTCAAACAAACAGAAAAATATAAAGCAAACTATAACCAAATCCCATATACTTACTTTTTACAAAGAAACTTTAACAACAGATAAAGGTCAAGTAGATTCCTGGATACTGTCTGAAAACTCAGGCATTCAGAAGGTAGACACATGGATGGACACCTGTGTTCCTAGTATTGACCACATATTTCTCCTGCAAAGATGGGTTTATTTGAGATCAGCAGAGAATTGCAATTCGAGATCTGTAACCATGGGGAACCACATGCAAGGCCCTGCACAGCAAGGGGAGGAGACCACTTTTATAGAGGGGAAGGGAAGATTTACTGGGGCCGAAGTAAACAGAGTCCAGGGCTTGTTGTTGGCTGAGTCCTCGCCAGGAAAGAGGGGGAGTTTGTCTTCTTCCTGCTGGCTTCTGCTGCCATCACAGTGCGTGAGAGTGCCCCCTGCGGGTCTCCTAACTCTGTTTAATTGAGGTTTCTGATTATTGATTTTTTTTACACCAGCAAAAGGGAAATGGCAAAGTGATGAGTTGGAAAGGCCTGCCTCTATCATTCTTGAAGGCAAGCTCGTTGTGGAGCGGGTGCTGAGTGGACTTTGTTGTGTGGATGAGTGACTAGGTAATGAGGGACAGTGTGTCCCTCAGAGCCCTGTCCACCCCCAGCCAAGCCTTGAGGCAGTCTGTGCTTTCTCAGTTGTTACAGCACCTCCTCTACAAGTTCATTCCAGTGCACATAGGACGGGGAGACTGCCTGGCCTCACCTCTTTCCTTGCGGCTCCTATGATAGCTCTTCAAGTCTAGGGCGCCTTGCTCTAGACATTTTAAGTTACTCAGAACTGAAATGCTTTCTACGTGTTTAGGTCAACAGAGTTAATTGGTCAATATATGTAATTCACATTCTTTCATTACTAAGTCTTTCATTACTAAGAATTCAGAAAGTATGTTTGGTTCCAAATTGCACATGCAAAACAAAATAGCTAAATAGTGATTTAGCTATTTAGGTCCTCTGAGAAGCAGATGCCAAGAAGGGATTAGATGTATTCATAAGAGGTGTACTGGCGCAAACACCTGTGAGGGATGGTGGGGAGGCAGCAGAAGGGGGTGGGAGGAGCCAGCAGACTTGATGCAGGTCTGACACCCATGAAGGGGGGCGGGGAGGAGGGATGGAGGGGAAGTGGACGGCGTGGGAGGAAAGGACGGGGAGTAAAGGTGTGGAGGAGAGCTGTAGACTGCTGTGCAGTTCTAAGAAAATCCCACAAGGTTGAAAGGGTCTTTGAGCCAGAGTCACCCATGGGAGGAGGCCCTGCCTCCCAGTTGTGGGCCCCCTTGGCATCCCTGCCGTGCCCGGGCACCGCCCGGAGCAGCCCTTGGGAAGCTTGGCCTGGCTGCCAGCATGCCAGGGGCCGGGGCTGGAGGCCGGTTATACCTCCTGCACTAGGCGGTCTGAGAGGCTCATTCTAATGGCCGCCACACACAATACTTTGCATTATTTGGGCAGGGCAACCCCCGATTTTACCTGAAACAGCGGCTCGACCCAAGGCAAGTTGGGGGCTTAGTTTCTGCACCCTGGTCTCAGTTCCCCTTCACTGTGAACAGGACTTGCAGTCAGAGCATCGTTGAGTGGAGAGCAAATAAAGGATCCACGTCTTGCTGAAAACGTTAAGCTATAGCTCGGCCGCAGAGTAACTTCTGCTTTCATTTCAAAATGCAGTAGGTGCGTCACTTCCCTTCTGCCTGGGAAAGACACCGATTCAGGATGTTGGGTGTTGGATGCCTGTTTGACTCTCGAGAGCTAATGGCTGCTGCTCTGAAGGCTTATTTAATTATTTTTGTAGACTGGTTTATAGGCTGAGAGAGCTTCAAGTTGGCCTTTGCTGCTGCATGAGAAGGTCACCTTCTGATGGGCCATCCTTGTCCCCATGCCCCACACATCTCGGGACCTCTGCCACCACTGGACTAGGGAGCTGGCTTTTGCCCACATGGTGACGGTGCGGAAGCCTGTGTTCTTAGGAGGGCTTCTCTGCAGAGCCCCCGCTGCCAGATCTCTCATTTGGGGAACGCTGTAAAGATGTCAGGATAGATAGTGGTCGGATCCAGTGCAGACAAGCACAGTCCTTGGAGGTGATGAACCTTAGCTCTGCCAGGCTGCGGTCAGTGAGGCAGGTGGGTGTCCAAATCCCAGGCGGTTGGAAAAGCTCCAAAAGAAAGAGGAGGTCTAGGGATACTAGTCACTGAACAGTGATGTTCAGAGGCGCAAACCATTCACTCGGCTGGATGCGATGGGGATGGGGGAGTACCCAGTGTGCAGGGGGTGAGGCAGTGAAGCACAGGGAGAAAAGCAGCAATGAAGTTTCCCACCTTCAAAGAAGAAGGCGAGCTGTAAATGAGGACGCGATCTCCTGGAAGTACTGGGGTAAATGGTCAGACGCTATCGGTAGTTAGAGTCTGATCCGATGTTGGGCTGGTGATGTGTGGACTTAGGGTCCTTTGTCTACCACTTACAGAGGATCTGAATTATTCCAGAGTCTGAGCTGGAACTTTCCTGCTTTGCAGAAAGGGGCTAAGCAGCCCTGGAAGCAAACTCCTAAGGTTCAGAAGACCATACCCTCAAGAAGCTAGAGGTACAATGTTGCACGTTCACACTCTCAGGTGATCATTTCTTTAATAGCACCACATCTAGAAATAGACATAGCACACATCGAATGTCAGCTTACTCAAAAGCATGAGATTTTTAAAAGACACAACACAGCAGGGACTCCATTATCAACAGGGGACTGAAATAGGATCATGGAATAACTGTAAATTGGCCTGTACTCACGTGCCATCAAAACCACTGAGAAATTCTCAGTTTTCATTACCTTTTGACAATGTGATGAGAGTAAACAGTCCTTTCATATCATTGACGTGTCAGTTGCCACCGCCGGCACAGTCCAAGCGCTAAGTTAATGCTCCATCAAGGCAGAATATTACATATTTAGAGGAAAGTACATGTTAGAAGAAGAAAAAAAAATTAGAGAGTAGGCTTCTGCTCTTTTCTTATTCCTTTACAGGTACTTAAGCCGCCATCTGATAAATTTCACAGTAGAGGCACTTCTTTAAAGATTATTTCTTTAAAGGTACTTAATCCTCTAATTAGCAAGATTCATAGAAAGAGATACTTCCAGTCTTATAAATGTATGGTAAGTTTAATAATCTTTATTTTTCTTCAAAATTTTTTTCCAAAATATGGATCATGCGGTGCATAATGCAGCAACCTTATAATTCTTTTAAAGGGAAAAAATAAAGCTTTATTTTTAAAGCTTTAAACTTTACCCTTAAATTAAATATATAGGGAAAATGACTAAATTACATAGCTAAGATCAAGTTTAAGGAATTCAGGACTTAGGGGAAATTACGCTGCCTATGTGTTGTATACTTTTTACCCTCTCCCCTGCCACGTAAAAAAAAAAAAACTGATGGAAATATAATCTAGTTAAAATTAGATTTCGAGGGACTTCCCTGGTGGCACAGTGGATAAGACTCCGTGCTCCCAATGCAGGGGGCCGGGGTCCATCCCCGGTCAGGGAACTAGATCCCACATGCATGCTGCAACTAAGAGCCTGCATGCCACAGCAAAGATCTTGCACGCGGCAACGAAGATCCCACCTGCTGCAACTAAGGCCCAGGTGCAGCCAAATAAATAAATAAATATTTAAAAAAATTAGATTTTGAGGAAGTAGTGATGGAGAAAGGAGACAGAGAAGAGAAAGAGGCCTTGAGAGAGAAGTGAGTGAGAGAAAAGTAGGTGTGGGCTTGGCACGGAGATTGTAGGGCCACATTATAGATTGATTTTATTTACGTGTGTCTGAGAGTGCCTAGAGTCCGTTTTAGTAACAGCTCACTATGTTACATCCCTTTCTCTGATTTACTACCTTCACGAGTTTGGTGCCTGGCGTCTCTAATAGCCTGGGCTCTGCAGAGTTCCGATGAGTATTTTAGTGTGGTTTACCCAGAAGCAGCTCTGTGCACAGCATTTTCTTTTCTGATAAGTCTGGCTTGTTCCCAAGGCACATCTCACTGTCACCAAGACCAGTCATGCTGATGGTTAAGACAATGGATTGTTTATGAATGAGGTAGGAATCAAGAAACCGTGTTTCTCACTGTTATCTTAGACAAATCATTTAATCCTTGTGATTCAGATCCCTCACTGTTAAAACGAAGAGGGGGCGTCCCTGGTGGCACAGTGGTTAAGAATCCACCTGCTAATCAAGCGGACACGGGTTCGAGCCCTGGTCTGGGAAGATCCCACATGCCTCGGAGCAACTAAGCCTGTGCGCCACAGCTAGTGAGCCTGTGCTCTAGAGCCCGCGAGCCACAGCTTCTGAGCCCGTGAGCCACAAGTGCTGAAGCCCGTGCACCTAGAGCCCATGCTCCGCAACAAGGGAAGCCACCACAGTGAGAAGCCTGTGCACTGCAACGAAGAGTAGCCCCCGCTCACCGCAACTAGAGAAAGCCTGCGCACAGCAACGAAGACCCAACGCGGCCAAAAATAAAAATAAATTAAAAATTTTAAATATAAATAAATAAAAATATCCAAAAAAAAAATGAAGAGGTTGGACTAGGTATCTTTCAGTTTGTTTTTTTTTTTTTGCGGTACGCGGGCCTCTCACTGTCGGGGCCCCTCCCATTGCGGAGCACAGGCTCCGGACGCGCAGGCTCAGCGGCCATGGCTCACGGGCCCAGCCACTACCGCGGCATGCGGGATCCTCCCGGACCGGGGCACGAACCCGCGTGCCCCGCATCTGCGGGCGGACCCTCAACCACTGCGCCACCAGGGAAGCCCTATCTTTCAGTTTTAAGTGTCTGCCTATATATTTAAGTTACCCTTTATTAGTAGGACAGGTATTTGTTAAAAGTTGGTATTTCCATTGGGAGCTGGGCTGATGAGAATAATGTGTAAGTGTAATTAAAAGATTCATTCGCTGCTACTACTGTAAAGGGAAGTGAGACATATTCGCTGAAACGGATATTTTCATTTTGGAGTAGGCTGATGGGACTACTTACGCACTGTGGACTCACGTAGACCCAGTTCAGAGTCAATATATGTTAGCCCTGCTCTGCCGCCAGTCACCTTTGTTATTTATCAGTCAGCTAGGAAATAAGCATCCAGTATTAGCCAACCTCTTTAGATCACTGGGCTCTGTGATAAGTAAACTTTTATAAAATTTAGGAAAATTGTTAAACATTTATTAATGATTCTCTGTTTCAGTTACTATATCTTAACTGTGACAAGAGAAACAGAAAACATTCAGTGAGAATTTAGATATATCTGAAGCTGATTTCTTTTCATCTAGATCATATTCATGAATTAAGAAGCTAAGTCAACATAAACTTCAGACAGATAAAAAAGTGAAAGAAAATATGAATGACAGATTGAGAGAGATGTAGGATCCATCCATGAGGATGAATACAATTCCAGGAAGAGAACAGAGATAGTAATGAAAGCAATAACAGAGAAAATCTCCCCATCTAATATTGATACATTTTAACAGACTGATACTTAGCCACATCCTCCTGAAATTTTACAAGAATGACAAAGAACTCTTAGAAGCTTTCTGACATAAAGAAAAACAAAACCAAACGAACAATGGGTTATAAGGCACAGGACCCATGTTTCCATATTTTAAATTTTTCCAATTTTTATCTTACTCCTCGTCACAAATATTTTAGTTCTTGGGTCTATCTTCTCAAATCTTGTCACCCATAAAACCACCTGTATTTTCTCATATGTATATTCTCTCAACTGAAAAATTGGAATGACTTTTAAACTTATTAACTTTCTGGCCAAGAACATTCTTTAAACATAGAAACATACACATTAAAACAAGGAGCTTGGTATTGAATATTGTAAAATCATGCATTTTTCCTCATTTCCAAAAACTTTGATTGAATGGAATTTGGATATATTGCTTTAAAATTTATTCTTTATATTGGTATAAACCATTCCAAACTGGCAAGATAAAGAAGACCTACAGGCTCACTTTGTGATAATTATGGACTTTTCCCCTAGGCTTTACTGAACACACAAAGCTCAGGATACAACAGTGGCAAGCATATGATGTCTTAAGTAACTTTTCTCCCACTAATATTTAAAGCAAAGCTCAATAACAGTAAAGCAAAAGAAATCCTCAGGGAGAAAGAAGGAAGGAGGGGAGAGAAGGAAGGAAGAAAAATGGAAAACAAAAGAAAAAAAGGATAAGAAAGCATGAATCCAGAAAAGCATATACTATGGCAGAAGCTATCCTGAAGGCATTTGCTGATTTCTCTAGACTGGAGGGGTACATCAGCTATAGTGTAAGGGCCCATGCAAGGTGGAAAGTCAGGGCAGAGATCACCACGTAAAGTGAATACCCTGAAAGGAAGCACTATGCTGGATGAATTACAAAATGACCCATTTCTTGAAAAAGGATATACTTACACTAAAAAATTTGTTGTTTTTCTGAAATTCACTTTTAACCAGCATCCTGAATTTTTTTTTTTTTTGCGGTACGCGGGCCTCTCACGGTTGTGGCCTCTCCCGCTGCGGAGCACAGGCTCCGGACACGCAGGCTTAGCGGCCATGGCTCACGGGCCCAGCCGCTCCACGGCATATGGGATCCTCCCGGACTGGGGCACGAACCCGTGTCCCCTGCATCGGCAGGCGGACTCTCAACCACTGCGCCACCAGGGAAGCCCCCAAGCATCCTGTATTTTTATTGGCTAAATCTGGTAACCCAACCCCTCACGTAAGATACTAATGGAACTTACCTATCAGCCTTGGCTCTGGCTGGAAGCAGGTGGTTAGGTAGTTTTACTGAAAATTTCCAACAACAAGCAGGTCCTCTTACAGTTTTAAGGCACAAATTCATGCTACCTGTGTGTCCCCAGGTACCCCTAGGTACCTGGAAGAAGCAAATATAAGTCCATTCTGAAGGAACCCAACTTAAAACACAGATTTCAAAGAATTACAGGAGATAAATTTACAACAAATATTAATGCACAATCAAAAGACACAAAACATATGAGGAAATAAGCCACCATGAGTGAGAGTCGGCAGAAATAATAAATAATAGAATCAGACTTGAAAGACTAACAGTGTTTAACTTTTTGGATTTGGAATGTAAACTAAGTAAGCTTAATTTGCAGAAATAAATCAAAAAGGTAATCAGATCAATGACTAAAAAATAACCTGGCATTAAAAATGTATTATACACAGCTTCTAAAAATTAAAATTTTAATAAAATTAGAGATACAGTGGATTGGCTATTCAGTAGACACTGTTCAAGAGAGAGAATGGGAATGGAAACTGTGAAAGGGAGTTAAAAGACATAGACATGGAGTATTGCACCTATAATCCCAGTCCCAGAAGGAAGTAAGAAAGAGAGCGGGGCAAGGAAGTCCTTAAGGATATAATGGTTAAGAATTTCTCAGAATTCGAGAAAGACTCAGATCATCATATCCAAGAAAGTCAAGAAGAAATTGAAATGAAAGGAGGCAAAAACAGACACCTTCCTTTCTTGGATTATCCTTTTTTTCTGAGGACCCCAGAATACAGTACTCCTCTGTAGAAATACAGATTTAAGCTTTTTAGCGACAGCTAATACGACTCCTAAACACCACTGACAATTAATTTCACATAATAAATCGAGCCTAATGTTTGGTTTTTGTCCATATTTTATTTTAAGCTGATTTTGGTTAATGGTTATCTAAAAAGATTTTTAAATGTATCATATCTTTGCAATTATGTAAAAATTATACGTGTGGACTTGGATGGCAAATAAATGCGTTCTAATACAAGGCAAGTGTCTCTGTTAGTATTGATAGTTACTCAGATAAGGAGAAGAGTATATGTTTCTCTTCACCTGCCAATGACAGTGTTCATGTAAAGATTAGGAATCGTAATTTTATAGGTTTAGGTGTCTGCTCTTTTATCAAGGGAAAATTACTTTCCACTTGCATCCCATTGGCGACAAGAATAGGGATGATGACAATGTATGATAACAATGATGATGATAGCTAACATTTATTGAATTACAAGCACTAGGAGTCAGCAAGCTTTTTCTGTAAAGCACCAGATAGTACATATTTTAGACTTTGTAAGCCACATGGTCTTTGTCTCAATCACTCAGTTCTGCAGTCATAGTACTGAAGAAGCTATGGACAATACGTAATTGAATGAGCATAGCTGTGTGCCAATAAAACTTTATTTACCAAAGAGTTCAGGGTCCAGATTTGGCCTGAAGGCTGTAGTTTGCTGGCCCCCGGATTAAATGATTGCAAATATTTGAATTCCAGTGAATTACTTTATTGTAGCTGTGTTGTACTTCTTTAACTTCTGCTTTAAATTCTATTATTCTTTAAAATATATAATAAATTAGTATACAAATAAAGATATATTAGATTTATTTTAGTCTTAAAAAATTATTCCCATATCATGTATGTTTGCTGAAGCCTTGTAACAACATCTTCTGTTTGAAAAATAATAATAATTGGTATTGACTTCTTAGTAATGGTGTTAACTTTTACTGTATAGCCAGTCATCCCCCAAATGTAGTAACTTAAAGCAGAGTCCCATTATTTGCTCACAGTTCTGTGGGTCAGCAATTGGGGTCTGTTTTTGCTCCATGCAGGTGCAGTTCCCTGTCTGTGTATAGGTCTCACCTGGAGAGGCTGAATTGGCTGGCAAGGCCGGGTCCTCTCTCCACACACTCTTTCGTCCTCTATGAGACTAGCCTGGACTTTTTCTGAAGAGGAGCAGGCGGGTAATAGGGAAGAACAAATCTGACTCCATATTGGATCTGTTTCTTGTCCTTTAACCTTTGTATTCTATTGCTTTTTTTTTATAAGTTAATCATTAAAAGGATGTTGCCCATTTCCAGAAACCCTGCCTCCCCTGCCTGAGTGTTAAGTTAAAAATACCTTTGTTCGGCTCCCAGGAAACATCCTGACAAGGTCCACCTATGAATGGCTGCAGGAAAGAAGAAATTAACACCTCCCCTCTGGAGGCTGGCTGGAACCAGGAAATGTTTGCAACAACTTACTGCCTTTTTTTTTACTTTACCTCCTCACCTTCCCCTCTTTGTTCCATAAAAGAAACTAGCATCCAAACCTGGGCAAGATGGGTCTTTGGGACATGAGTCCACCATCTTTTCAGTCGGCTGGCTTCCGGAATAAAATCTCTATACCTTGCCCCAACAACTTGTCTCTCGATTGATTGGACTGTCGTGCGTCGAACAGTATGAGCATAGACTCGGCAACAGGCAGAGTCCCCAACAGCAAGAGAGGGCAAGGCCTTGCACACAGGAGTCCCGTGGTCAAGGCCAGATTTAAGGACTGTCTCCTGATGGGAGGTACAGCAAAGTCACGTTGCAAAGAGACATACAGTTAGGCCAGAAAGAAGTGAGAGTCCACAAGATGGTCTGGGATGTCCTTGGGGTCGTGTTGCATGTGCTCTCGCTCCAGACCCACTTCGCCATCAGCCATTTAGGGTGTATAAACTAGTTTACTCTAGTCCGGGCACATCGTTAGTCACAAATTACGTACAAAAGAGGTGAATAAGCATAGGTGTTGCTTAAAGCCATTTAACTCATGTTCCCATGCAGAGTTGCCACTTAAACTGTTTCCAGTTTTCATTCTAGTCCATGTCTTTCCATGACCAGGCCAAGACCAGAGCCATTTATTTAGTTAGTTAGTTGAGATACATACCCTGACTACTACTAAGAGGATTTAAAGCAGCTGCTCAGTTTCTTTTTTCTCAGTTCCCCTGGGTATTAGGGAAGCACACTCCTTTTCATCTGAGCCTGAAGCCTGGCCTCCAGTCCAAGTAAAAAAAAATGCACTCTCGATAGCCAAATTCACCCCTACCCAGTTTAACACTGAATCTTACAAAATGTTCTTAACTCCAGTTCCATTTTTCTGGGAATACAGAGCCAGGTTTACCTCTCCTAAATGATTCTTCTCTATGTTCACCAGCCCATCTCAGTGACACAAGGCTAATATTCTGGTTTTCTTAGAAACCGTTGTCTTCTGCATTCAATATTGTCATGTGCCTACCACCCAATTATCAGGATATATTGCCAAATCTATATTCATTTTCCAATAGAATTTGCAGTCTACAGCTCTCCTTTTTAAGATTTTGACTCTTCCTAATAAATGCCAAAATGTTTATCAAACAATTTTCCAAATATAGAACCTCCTCTACATTTTTGCTGTTCTGTAACAAAAATATATGCTAAATTTAAGAAACATACATATTATAAAAAGCATATACAGTAAAGTGAAGCCTAAGTTGACCTATTTTTATTCTTCCTCAAGTCTTAGTCCTGATACAGTCATTCCTCTTTAAAAGTTTCTGTGCTTGCTATTTTTGATAGGAAAACAAAAGTTGATTTACAAAATATAGCAAAACTTGGCTGCAGTTGAGACACACTGTTAATATGGAAAGGGAGTTAATAGGGTAACTCCCAAAGAAAGGAACAAGAAAAATCCTCTTTTGAGAAAACAGAGTGGAAAGATTTTATCACAATCTATTTTTTTCTCTCTACCTCTTCCTACTTTGGACTTCCTACTTTAGACAAACATCTAGGAGTATCCCACTCTTAGACTTTTTGTATTTGTCTAATACAGCTATTCATTTTCAAAGTAGATTATAATTTAGGGGCTGTGAGGACTTTCCAGGACTTCTGTAACCAGTGATCATGTCGCTGTAAGTTTCTGGTCAAGAGCAGTCCTGGAACCAAGCAGGACCCTGTGGGCCCTTCCTAGGATAGACCCCACCCCACCCCATGTCCTCCGCCTGCCTCTTGTTTATGAAAAGCTGTTAGCCTCCTAGGCCTTCCCTGAGTTCCAAAGAAGACATTTAATCAGAGAAGTGAGAAAATGCAGAAACAAGGAAAACAGTCAAGCAAGACAAGATAATAATAGTTTAGCCATTAAACAAAGTCAAGGACATTTAGTTCCTCCTCAAGGGCTGTAGATACTATTCTGAGCCATGTCCTTGAGCCACTGTGTGTTACCTGCACGCTGCCCACCCGCACACGGAGACCCCAGACCGGTTGGAACCAGAAGGCTGATGATGTTGACTCCCAATTACCTCACCACCAACCAATCAGAAGAGTGTCCGTGAGATGATCTCACACCCCAAAGCCCTCTCCTTCACTCTGTCCTTAAAAACCTTTCCCTGAAAGCCACTGGGGAGTTTGGGCCCTTTGAGCATGAGCTTCCCGGGCTCCTTGCTTGGCCCAACACTGGGCGCCTTGCGAAAAGTGCTGCGCTCTCCTTCACCACGACCCGGTGTCAGTAGATTGTCTTTACTGCCTGTGGGTGAGTGGGCCCAAGTTGGGTTCTGTAACAGTCCCTTTTACTTAAGCTCGTGGAAGAAAAACTTGAAAACCAAAGAGGTAAACCTAAGATTCTTTTTTAGCTGACTTTGAGGGAGAATGTGAAGGCTAGCGCTTGGGTGAATTTCCTTTTGGGTGAAGGCCAGAGGGGTGGGTTAGCCCTGGTTTGCTTCACTGGGCTCCGCTAGTGAAGGGTTCTCCCTTCTTTTGGAAGAGCTTTGTTCAGAAGGGCTCTAAAGAAGAAAAAGGAGGAACGGGTTCTGATGGCTGTTGTCATCTCTGTCTGCCAGGCTTCTGCCGGAGACCCCAGGGCTGCTGTGGCCAGCACTGTGGCTTTCTGAGCTCCTGTTCTGATAGTGCAAGGAAGCTGCTCTTGGTAGGAATCTGAATGAGCTCTAAATCTCTGTAGGGCGTATGTCTGTCTCTAGGTGCAGGGAACTCACCGGGACTGATGCAAGTAATGGTGACAGGAAGCGAAGGGTGATGAGGAATACACGTTAGCAGAAGGAGCGAGGCTGCAGGAAGAGGTTGCTAAAGACTTACACCCATGTTTCTCTCTACAGCCTCCCTCTCTTTTCCTCTGCAGGGTCTGTCTCTTCATCCCTTATTTCTTTTTTCTATCTACCTCTCACTTTTGTTATTAACTATTCACAAGTTCTTTTCCTTATTGTACTTCCTTTGGTATAATCAATCCTAT